CTCTCTCTCTCTCTCTCCTCCTCTCTCTCTCTCTCTCTCTCTCTCTCTCTCTCTCTCTCTCTCTCTCTCTCTCTCTCTCTCTCTCTCTCTCTCCCGATATATTTAATTTATTTTCTTCGCACTGCACTTTCGATAGCGATCCACACACTTTCCGGCACAAACGGCCACCTCATTATATCCTGCTCCCCCGTTCCGTCTCTCTCGCTCCCTCGCTCACTGCCTTTCTTTCTCTCTCTCTCTCTCTCTCCCTCGCTGTATTTTTTCGCTCTCAAGGTATCAGAGGACAGATATACGGTGCGCGCGACATATACCGCGTTTTCTCTCCGCGCGACATATACCGCGGTTTTCTCTCCGCGCGAGTTATCTCACTGCCTCTGGGTCTCGCATGGACACGCGACTCGGGCGGGGGGCCCGGCCGGCGGGCCGCTTACTTACGTGTAATGATTCGCCTTTTCCGCCTGAGCTGTCAACAAAGGTTTCGAGTCGGACTTCATCTTGGATACAACAACGCGAGCCGCTGCCGACCAACCGCGCTCGCGCACCAATACACGCACTAATACGCACGGCGTACACCACCGAGCAACACGGCGCACCGTCTTGATCGTCGTCGCCGCTGCTGTCACCGTCGTTACCACCACCGCTGTTGCCGCCGCCACCGTCGCCGTTTACCTTCACCGTCGTCGTCGTCGCCGTCGTCGTCGTCGTCGTCGCCGCTGTTCGTGCTCGCTCTTGTCCACCTCGGCGCCTCGCTTCTCTCTCCCCCCCTCCCCTTTCCTGTTCCTCGCCGTCGGTCCAGCACGTGCAACTCCTATTGGACGAGGAATGCGGGCTGTGCGGCGCGCACGACGCAATATGCACTATACGTCCCTCCGGCGGGCCAATCGCCGCGCCTTTCTTCGCGGTCACGTGACACACTGGCTTTCAAGGTCATTGATGTTTTGGTTCACGCGTAAACAGGCATCCTGCGAGATTGGCGACATGACTACCGGTTGATCCGTTGCTCTCATTTATGACTTACGTCGTTCGACAATTTTCAGCAATTTGTCTCTGGTTTCGTTGGTAAAGTGGATTACTAGCATTACTAAATTCTTGTCGGAATAAAGGGGGTATCGCGAGGCGTACTGTGCTCCGAGAGACCTTTTGACAGCGATTTTCGATCTCGAGTAATTTTGCTCTGCTCTTTGTGTATTCCTTTTAACTCATGAAATGAGTGTCAGCCAATTTATCGAAACACAGGAGTGAAAGATAAGGAAAGAATGTATCTTTCGACGCATTCTTATCTCGGATACGAAGATAAAGCATCGCACGTCTCATCTCACGGATGCTATGACACTCGATCTTTTGTGTATGAACATCGTTACACACGTCCTTCGATTTTCGAGCAAATTACTTTCTCGATAACTCGCGAAAATCGATAGCTCGCGAGGATTTATAGCTAGCAAGAATCGATAACTCGAAAAAATCGATATCTTGTAGAAAAAAAGAATACGTTGACAGAAAATTGTAATTTTTTCGCGATTATCGCAATCTCGTGTAAACTATTATTCAAGAAATAAAACAATTTTCATTATAAAGAGAAAAAGAATGAAAACATACGTTTGCAAATCTTCGCCGAGAATTGTTTTGCTTGCAAAGTCGCAAATATGCGAGATCTCGAACGAATGCAATATATTACACATACTGTGCATAGTTTCACTTTATACTCTTTAAACAATTCGACTAGAATTGTATTAGATAATTGCAATTAAGAACTAATTAGCACGCAATTCGCAACACGCCAGTGATAAAAGCGAAATCAAAGTTGGGAATGCATTTTGTATTACAGTGAATTTTATTGAGTTTCGCTGTTCGTGTTAGTCAGCATCATATTACCGGAACTTGCTATTTTTTGTACCATATCTACAATGTCATAATACATACACTTTAACGCAGTTTTTTTTTTGTTAAATTTGCGCACGCTACCGTTCAATTTCGATTCGATATTGGAGTATATCTGTGGCGATTCTATCAGCAAAATAAAATGTACATTGAGATGCTTAAAGAACATTAATAATGTTTCCTGAAACGTTAGATATACGGAGCGGTTTCGTCTCGATCAATCAAATAAATTACATGAGAGTTCACATTCATAGTAATTAATTTTGTATGCTGTTCATCCGTTAAATTAAACATAAGGCGTAATCGATAATATCGAGTGTTCTTGTATTACAACGCGATGGAAGTTTACGATATTCCACAATCGATTTCATATAATTTCATATTTCATAAAATAATCATCATATATAAGCACACGCTATAAGTTCTACACGTTGTATAATATTAAATGAGTATAATCGTAAGCATATATCTTTATCGGCGTGTCGCCGTTTAGCATACTGTAAATAACGGACAATGTATATATATATTTGGAGTAAATTACATTAACAAGTTCATTTATACAATTAGCTATCTATATACAGTATATATCAATACGAATGTCGCATTTGTTTAACATAGTGTTAAGAAGAGACTCCTCACTAGTCTTACCTGCTGCACTAAAAACTGGAATATTTTTGTTCTCTATAATCCTTTCTTATAATACTCTTAAAAATCGTAATTTCATAATAGTGAAATTTTTAAGTCTTGCATTGATCATTTAATATTTCTTATTAAGCCAATAGTCGTCCAATATTTAAAGTTCGCTACGTGAACTTTCACACTGAACGAATAAAAATTTGACAATTAATATTTGTGTAACGAATTTTTAGATTTTTCGAATATAACAGAGATCGCGCAATTTTTGTCACAATACAAATAATCGTACTTCATTGGATATTATTCAATAGTACGTATTTTACTCGATAATATGTCAGTAAATATGTTCTTTGTCTGAAAGTGTCTTTAAACATTTTAAGTTTTTTGATTAAATTTGGGAGTTTATCGGTTAAACGCTTAGTATACTGGTTAAGAATCCGCATTACTTATAGCTGAAAGTGAATAATGCGATTTTAATATTGCATCGTGTCACTTTAAGTGGCAAAGGCTGTTCTCTAAAACTGAATTCGCTAAAGAGTTGCAGCTCTTTTTTTTTCTCTTCACGTTTATAAATACGATGACGGAAGTAATCATTTATTCGGCGCATATAACGGCGGATTTAATTTAGACGGTTGTTCCGTACGTGCTGAACATCACTCTGGTGGTATCTGTGTCGAGGGTGACGTCCTCCGGAGACGCCAAGTCGACCTTTATGGATCCAGAGTTATTTCGTCTTCGCGTCATGCCGCCGCCCCAATTCGACAGAGTCCAGTGATAAGTCTCGCCCTCTTTCCCGGCGCCCGCCGCGGTGGTTTCCTGCGTCGTCTCGTTCTCCTTGTCCAAGCCGGTTTCGATGGAGACCGACGATTGCGACGCAACGGAATCGAAGCTGGAATCGCCGCCGCCGCCTCTGTATCGGCTGACGCACTCCGTCGCCATCTCGCCAGGTGACTCCTCGATGGCTCGCAGAATATTCTGACACAGCTCCGAATCAAGGGGTATCGGATCCTCCGAGTCGCGATTGTGTATGGTTACTGCTATGTGCGCCGGATGCGGAATCGGCAAGGGAATCACCAGCTTCTCCGCGCTGTACGGACGAATCTGACGTTTCCACGGTTGCCACCGTCCCTCTGAGCCGTTGTCGTTCGCTATTGTGAGTCTTCGTATCTTCGACGTTAATAAACCGTCGCTAATAAACGTGTTGCTGTAAAAAAAAAGCGCGTTTTGTCGATGTTAACCGGGAAAGTCTCACGAAACGATGAAACAAATCGACTTGGAAAATATAATTACCACCGTTTGTCAGATTTTCTGCTGTTGCTGGCTTGCTTAAGTCGCGGATTGAAGGCGGACACCTCGAGATACGGGCTGTGTACCTGGATATTCCCGCGTGGTGCGTACACAGCGCCGAGCAAATCGGGCCCGTTGATGCCGCCGAGCTCGGTGCTGTGAACCATGTCTGTGTATCGCGACAGATCGACTCCCGGGTGCGGCTCCAATCTGAATTTCGTATCGGAATCGTCGAGCGGTTGCAGGAAGTCCAAACTAAAGATTTCGGCGTACATGAGACCCGCCAAACCTGCCCAATCGCACACTCCTAAACCTTTATTCTCCCAGAAGTCCTCCTCATTCCCGGGAAGTCTCGCGAAAACGTGAGTGGGATAGAGACGTTCTAGCATCAGCGCTCCTTGCTGTATGACCACCTGTAATGTTATTTTAGCTATTATTGCAGCTGAACCGCGCGTCCACAAATTTATAGAAAATAGAGGACTCTTTTGTTTCCTCATTGTAGCCATTGACTCAATGACTGCAGCGAGAAAACAATGAATAATAGAATTGTGTAAAATTTTGCAGCGAATAATTACCTTTAAATCGAAAGTGGTCAATTTTATCTTACTCCTCACCGCGACGCCGAGACCCGTCTGCAAATTCTTCCTTCGTCTATCCAATTTCTCGTGCAACACGGTGATTAAATCTCTGGCTTCTTTCTCGAGCGACTTGTACGGATCCTTCGTCTTCGCGAGACTAGCGGCGAACGGGCCGAAACAGGCTTCGACGAACTGTGTAAAGTCTCTCTGCGGTTGAGTGATTAATTTCTCAATCTCTTGTTGGAAAGCTAGCAGTTCGTCCAGTTCCAATTTTGCTTCAAACGCGGCCAACGCTTGTTCCGCTCTTACCTGATGGCGAAGATAAAATTCAGTCTTTTAGATTTTATTCTTCGGGCAATTTATAAACGTTTGTCTGCAATGGTGACGCTTACTTGATAATAATAGTCCGAAGCCAGCCCTGGCCCGGCTATTCTCTTTACAACAAAGCTATCGCTCGCTGGTATGCGACCTCTATTCTTGATCACCAAGTGGAACATGGCCGTATCCCAGAGCACTCGGACCCAGTAACGTATCACAGCAACTACAAAAAATACGATTATCTTTCGAACGCGTTTCTTTAGAAATAAAAATTTTCTCAGCCAAGCTCAGTATTTTTTACTTACTTGTAAGTATCATGAATGAGATGATGGGGCACAGGACAAGAGCTACGAATACCGCAGCTATCGGTTGCAGACATCCTTGAATAGCGATGTTCCAGACTAGCGCCTCCATCACAACGAGATACCGATTGCGACTAGGCTCGGGACTATCCAGGTCCATGATGAGCGCCATAAATGCGTGCAGTGTCAACGTGACCAGAGGCATCCTGAAAACACCGATAAGTTAAATCCAAAAGAGAAATCAATAATCATCGCGCATTTTACTAACCACAGGACCGCGGTGAGAGCGATAATGAACGAGCCGACGCTCGCTAGAACGCACACCACGGGAAACACGAACAGTATGATAAGCGTGCCCAGCAGACCCTTTGCGCCATAATTCCACAACCTGTTTAGATGCCTGGTCATACCCTTGCCGATAAATCCTGAAAAGACATTATTACTATCAGTAATGATATATATTTCGTTGCTAATATTGCATCTGACACTCTCGTGACCGAAACGTCACAGCTGGAACGAAGTTGTAACGCGAAATTTAATTTTTTTTAAAGTAAAAAACAACCTTTTCACCCTAAAACGCTGTCAAAAGTCAAAATAAAATTCCAATTGTGAAACTTGGATTGCTTTCGCTGATAAACTAATAAATATACTTCGCAATATGCTTATATAGATCGAATTTACCTGTGTCCGGTTCGGTTTCAAAGTGCGTCCGACTTTTACTGATATGCCTCCAAAGTGTCGTTAACCGGGAACAGAGCGTGGGCATCTGCGACGACTTTCTCGGGAACAGCGTTCCGTTCAATTGACTCAATTCCAGATCGGGCGTGAATGGCTGCGCCAGCAGTAAAGCGCGGACGGACACGGGGCTGCACAACGGCACAGCCACGCCCAGCAGGAACATCGCGTTCCAAGTCCAACACCACGTTCTGGCGATGTAGTTTATCCAGCGCCACATCGGCCACCTTTTGCACCGCGATATCGTTAGAATACCAAAATATCCCATCGGGCTTATCTATTCTGGATAATCGCACGACTGATCAAAGTACCTCGTTGTAGTTGTGTGCAAAATCTCTCTTTCGACCAGGAAGACGGGTTGGCTGGGATCGGCGCGCGGCGTCGTGATGGAGGTCGGAGTGTTGCTCAGCACGGTCGGGATGATCTCCGACTGACCCTGGAAATTGCGTCTTATTATCCAGTTCTTCGGCAGCCAGATTTGCGTTGGCCACTGGAAAGTCCTCGTCGGGGTTTTGACTTTCCGCAGCTCTTTCAGAAGAACTGGCTCTCTCTGAAGGAATAAAGTCAAGTTTTCCGACAAGCTCTCGAGACAAAAGCGGAATCAAAAGCGAGCGTCACGCACCTCTTTCATGAAAGTTAAATCGCGATTGAGAAAGTACACGGTCTGAGCGAGATTCTGATGGCTGCAGAGAGCGTAGGCCTCCTCATGCGCGCTCCACTCGCACTCCTCGATGAAATTCTCTTCGGCTTCCCGCATGCGATCGCGCATCCACGGCTGTATCCGCGACAAGACCGGGTGCTCGCTCTCGATGCGCCGTCGCAGAGAGTCCTTAGTTTGCGACAACTTCCGCTGTACATTGTCCACCGCTCGGTACATCAGCACGACCGACTGCGCCTGTTGGACCAGCAGCTGAGCAATTCCATTGCCAAGCGCGAGTATGTCCGGGTGCGACAAGATATTCGAGTACACTCTTTGCAGGTATTCGCGCATCACCGCTTCGTTAACTTCCTGAAAGTGTCGATTAAGCGTATAAAACATGTCTGTACATAATTTTGCAGCTAGCGTTAAAATTTTTTTTTTTATTTGAAAGACTCCTCACCCGTTCGATCTCCTCGTCGGGTTTCTTTTGTGCTCTCAATTCGGATATCAGTCTTTCTCTAAAGTGAAGGAACCAGCCTCTTGTCTCTCTCTCCAAGATCGCGACGAGCGTCGGCAGAGCCTTCCGGATTATGTCCCTGCTGAACAGTCTGAGGTCAACCGCGGCCCCACCGGGCGTCCCGAATACGAAGGGAACCGAGACGGGCAACAGCTGAGACGATTCTCTCTCCACCTCGAACTTCTCCGTGGTCGCCCGGCGTAGTTGCTTCCGTATAAATCCGCAGAGAAGTTCCAGAGAATCGTCATATTCCGGCTGCGAAACAGAGGGGAGAATAATTCGTCCGAATTCGGCGAGTGATGAGGCGATTTCGCGAAAATACGAGAATAATATGTCTTACTCTGCAAACCAATTCCGCTACCAAGTACCGACAGCGCTCCTCCCTAATTTTAGCATCTAGATTGTGTGCCTGGAGCGACGGTACACCGATTATAATGTCTGTAAGAGATACACACACACACATATATATATATATATATGTTCAATGTGGCGTCAATAATGCGGATTGTGGTTTAAGCGATGCTTACACAAGCGCGCCGTATAAATACAAATTACTCACCGAGCAGTCGCAACAATCCCGTTAACAAAGCTTTAAGAGACTGCGAGACACTGAAGCAATGGGAGACTAATCTGGCCTTCGCCGTCACAACGAGAAACCTGGTCGCCAGGGCGAGATCCGTGAGCAGCGCGTCCCGCCGTCTGTCCCGGCCGCGCTGCAGAAGACCGCTCAGTCGCCATCGGTGCACTTGCCCGGCGAAATTGATCGAATCCACTTCGAACTCCCTGCAAAGAGGATCGTTAGTCGGCCGCGTGCAGATAAACATCACCGAGCGATTGCGCGACGGCCGAAATCATACAAAGCGCCAATTATTTACGGAAAACAAATCGGTACGATATACGAAGAAGGGAGGAAAAGGTGTGACAAATAAGGATAGCGTCCCTTTGTTACAAAGTAATTCACATAAAAATACAAATGTCTACACGCCTCCTAATTTCCAAAGACACTTATTAGCGTTACTTAGTCTGTGCTGTGTTATACTTGCCCTTGTGATTCGCTAAAGCTCGTGGCGCTTTTTTTTTTTTTTTTTTTTATGTACAAGCCAAAAACCTAAGCTAGAAACAGACAACAGCTGGGAATGTATGATTTTCCAAATCGAGAGTGCCATGCGACAAATGTGTACACGTACACACACACATATACACACACACACACACACACACACGTTGGTTACACCAATTCTCCAATTCTCCAATCGCGCAAGGAAATTATACAATAATGTGTCGCTCGTACGCTCTGCAAATGAGATTCACTGATAAGTATTAATAGCGGTGCGAATGAAGGGTCACATGCTGTGAATGCGCGCGGGATTCTCGCGCGGGGGAAGTTAGACGAAGTTAGTTCAGTCCCGAGGCCGCGCTGTACAAGATCCTTCGTTTGCCTATCGACTTATCTGGTTTAAAACGCTCGGCGCACATCTCTTTGCATTAAAAATTGTCGCTAATATGTAGCACACGTACCCGCATCTTCGAATGCTCTCCAACTGAGCGGCATTCAGCTTCTTCGGCTTTCCATATTTATCCTTGTGTAAGCTTTACAGAAATCGTTAGAACAATATCAGACATACAACGCAGATAAGCAAGGGATCGATTCATTTATCCCCGCGTGTCCCGTTTGCCGAACACGTGAGAGAGCGCGAGAAGGCATTTCGAACATTTCGAAAGTCTCCGTTTTACTCCGTTCGGTCGTCAAATCCGCAGACTCGATGAATACCCCGACGCGGCTATATGTATATAATCGGTCATCCATATTAATTATGCTACGATCTCTCTGTCTACGCCTATCTACTGTCGCTACGGTGTAGAGTGCCAGATGATTTCGAAAGTCTTTGTGGCTTCAAAGTTTTTTTTTTTTTCACTTCAAGGTTCTTTAAATTTTTTTAGTCGATCAAGCGATGGAAAGAAGTTGTCGAAACGAGAAAAGGAAATTATATGACGTATAATTTTGTCGTACACTTAATTTCACGCTAGAAACGACGGGAAAGTCGACACAAAGACTTCGGAAATAATTCGACATAATTGCATAAAACGACTAACTATAACACGATCGTCAGCACGAGCGGGGAAGAGATAACGTGAGATATATTTGCGCATCCACGTGGAGCAACACCTACCCCCGTTCCCGGATACTCTCCAGCTGCTTGTTCGTCAGTCTTCTCGGTTCACCTTTACTGTCCACGGCGACGGCGTCCAGCTCGTCGAAGCTGGGCGCGACGAAGAGGTCCCTCAGGTGGTATTTCTTTCGCGCCAGCGTGTCGTCGCCCTCCGTGCACGAGGACAACGGCGGCGGCAGGACGATGGGGAACGTTCGCCAGTGGTAGAGGAACTGTTGGGCGACATCCTTGATGTTGTGCACCAACGCCTCGACCTCCGCCGGAGCGCCCCGCAGATGCGACGTGTCGAATTCGACCGGTTCTTTCTGAAAAACACGACAGTCGTCAAAGTTTCGACGATTCGGGAATTGGAAATAATTTTTTACTTTTTAATTTTTGCCTCGAATTCTTCACTCACGCGCTGAAATTCCGAGATATTCCGTCGAGATTGGACAAACGATTCGCACGACAACTAGACTGAACATATCGACTGCCGCGCGCGTAATCGATTAAATTTCAACAATTTTGTTGCAAGGATAAAGTAAAGAAAGATTCGTCCAACACCAATGATTACAAATACTTCTCGTCGGTCCGGAGATGAGTTATTTATAAGGCGTTGGCAATCGACGTGTCGGACCTTTCCCCGATAAAACCGGTTGAATGCGAGTGACGGAAACTCGTGAAACGAATCGGAAGCTCCGATATCAGCCCGATACGTTCGAGATCGTTCGACGTGAGATGAATAATATTCGGCGGTGAATTTCGCGCGCGTTACCTCAGGCTGGAGTCCATCTGCGTTCTCCCGGTGGTACGGCTGCTGCGGGTAGGCTTGATGATTCGGTCCCGTGTTGGCGGAGTTGGCGGAAGCTGAGTTTAGATTGTGGGGCATCTCGCGCATTAAAAGCGTGCGCGGCGGCTGGGGTCAGCTGCCCCGTATACCAATTGTCTCCTCATATACCATGGTGCTCATATATCAGGCGACGTTCATAGATCATTCCAGGCTCCGAATTAAACGCGATCGCCGTAAACCAAAGTGCGAGCGGAGTCATGTGCCATATTTCACTGCAAAGTCATAAAAACACGCGATTTTTATTTGACACTGTAAAAAAATGACACATATATATTCTATTTTGCTACAAAAGTTTGCAGGTTGTGGTGTTAAAAAAGCATATTGATTTTATTCGCAAAGTATCGATTTTTTTTTCAGATTGAGACATCGCGATTCTCTCACGTCGCAGTTTCGATGAAAATAAAGGATCGGGGAAGAATATAGAATTTTGTAGGGAGAGGATAAAAATATCCGGTGGCCAGGCAGAAATACGCGAGATGAGAGAAGACGCGTATCGTCGTTCGTTGCGCGAGGTGGCCGCGGCTTTGGATGAACGCACGCGCCCGCGAGAGAGACCCATTAACCGATTATATCCCATTAAACGTTTAAGATTCTGAACATTCCAGCTCTTCCTGCGTCGCTGTACATCGCCGCATGTGTTTCGAATTATGCTCGTTCTCATGCCGGCTTTATGTCGCCGCGCCGCGTTTTTCTCCGCCCGTTTATAGACGGCGATAAATCGGCGCTAAATCGCCCTCGCGGCGAAACGCGACGTGACACAATCATTTTCCAAAATGCTTCTCGAGCGGTCTCCTTAAAATTTCATTCGATAAAAATAAATGTGTAAAAAACGATAGTCATTTTTGTTTGAAGTTTGAAAGCAATTAGTTGTAACGAATTGCGTTTTCCCCGATGAAAAAAAAGGACACTCGGCAAAAATATCACGAGTGCAATTTATTTCCGCGCGATACACTTACGGGGAGGGGCACACCTCTTCGATCGGAAATTATTTCTACAGCGCTTGACCCGGCAGAGATTCGGCCCGCAGCCACCGCGGATTAACGGCGGGCGCGTTTCTGTGAAGAGGCGAAATAATAAAAACTGGCTTCCAGGCTTGTTTCGACGCGACTCGTTCCCGCAGCTTGCGTGATAAAAGTGAAAACTTAATAGGCCAGACACCCGGTAGTTATTGACTCGCGTCGTTCCAGTTCACAGGAAGTTATGTCGCGACGGCTACTATATCGCCAGAGAATGGTACTTCCGTTCCGTAATCTTTTATTCCTTCGATAACGCAGCGCATTCGATTTTATTTTTCGTTTTCCGACGATGACATTCATTTACCTTATTTTAAGTAAAATATTCGTAATATCAACTGCGATTTCCGCATTTATTTGTATTTGACAAATATTGTGCCTTTATTATTTATTATTACATTTATTATTAAATTAATATAATTAATTAAATTCATATAATATGAATTGAGTTATTGAAACTCAAAACAAATTTTTTTTAATCAAACCTCAATGAGAGTGCGAAGAATTAAATTATTAGTGCAGAAGAAGTTCAATTTTATATAATAATACGTTATACGAAAATAGAGAGAAATCAACTGTGTTGTTCGTTGTAATTTAGGATAATTTTCATTTAATCCTTGCCTTGCATTCGGTCGTGCATTACGTTTGGAGAAAGCTCGGAGAACGCCGCAGTGAAGTAACGATGGTGGAAAGAGTGGCAAAAAGCGCGACGCGTGAAAGAATATTCGCGAGTCTGCTCGGGTGTGTTCCAAACGGGTTGGCGGGCAGTCGCAAGCTCTGCCTTTTGACCTAGTTCGGAGCTTGCAAGCTCTCGTAACCTTAAAATGCACGGCCGGGCGCTATTACAGTCAATCCGATCGCACTGTCGAATGCAGCGTACACGTCACGCGCGATTGCATGTGATTTCGAGTAGCAGCACGCGCGATTTCCGAGAGAAACCCTATAACGATTCTCCACGCTGAAAAACCGTCAACGCAGTTAAAATGCCGCAGTATTAGTATAGCAAAATATCGATTTTGACTCCAGTTCCATTTTAATTATTTGAAGACGCTTATAGTGGCTTTCCTACTGTGTGACGTCTCTCAAGGGCTATTTTTTGAGGGTAATTCATAATCGATTTTTCTTTCACGAAAACATCCACGTATAAACGGATTTTGAGCGAATTAACGGTTGAAGACTCCGTTTCTTATTGCTCTTGTTTCTAAATTGCAAAGAGATGAACAAAATTATATTCTTCTATTGATTTCGATTGCGTTAAAAGATATCAGTGACGGGACAATCTGCACTTTGTCCGAAATTTGTACGTGTATTGCTCGAAAAATGTCTAGCAGATTCATACACTTTTTACACATTGAAGATGATCGAATAAAACGAAACCAAAGCGTTTGTGAACGCCAAACTAACTTTGTCAATATATAAATCACATAGCACTGACAGCCTGCGGTCGGCCTTATCGACTACTTTGCCTATCACTGTTATTTAAACACTAACGTCTGATAAGAAGATCAAAATTTATTGCTAAAAGATTCGCTTCCGAAAAGGAAAAAAACGATAGATTTCATTTCCGAAAGACGCAGAAGCAGCACGTTGCTGCTGACGCATCCGGCCGTTATCGAATGATAACGCAATGAATAGGTCCCATTCATAGATACGCGGGACGAGTAACGAGAGGATGTCTCGAAGGAATGTGCATGATTGTCCGCCACAATTCCGTATCAGAGCTATATTTATTAGATTATTATTATCGTCTTAAAGAACGCCACATTGAATCGAGTATTTTGTATCGCCTATTCATTCACGCCACTCCGTTCTATCAGATCGGTTTCTCGAAGAGATCTCCGTTTTTTTTGTTACTTCCGTATCTCTCCTCCCCCTTTTTCTCGAGTAGAAGAACGTGCTCGAGTGTGGGCGTCTAGCGTGGAATATTGTTCGCATAGGAGCTTGCAAATGTCAGCTCGCTGTTGCAGCAGCGCGACGATATTGTAAGCGCGAGATCCTCGCGTGACAACTTCATTCAACCGCTCGCGTCAACTTGTGTATCAGACTTGCAAAAGTTATGGAAAAAAAAAAAAGAAAGAAAAACGATCGACGTTCTCATGCGCCTCCGAGCGCATCGGCGACCAGAATAATCAAGTTCTCCCGACGAGGCAGGATGCGACGAACAAAGACGGTCGGATTCTTGGCCGTAACGCGGAAATCTAAAGCGTATGCTGTCACGGGCAGAGGCGCCGGACGCGAAAACGGTTTTTGCGAGGGTGCAGCCAAAAATGAACCCGTACACGCGTACTCTCGGTGTTCGCGCGAATAAACGGTCAAATGGCACAATGCAGACGATGTACAATGTGACTCATTGTCAATGTATCAGGTTAATTGGCGCGATTCACGAAGCTTCAGGCTTCGATCTCTGAGGTCATTGCGAATAAATAAGCTCGCGAATGAGATTGCGTCCCACTTTAGATAGCTATAATGTTACATAATGTCCCTCGGCGGATTCTCAGAAATGCGGGATTGCGAATCAATATGTTAACTGTGTGCTTGCCGTTCGCTGCTCTTGTTTTTATCGCGCGGCCCGCGAGTAGTAGAATACAACAATAACACGTGCAATCAATAGCGACGATTGTCACATGATTATTATTCACGTCCCGCTGACACACACGCGAACGAAATGTACAAATCGAACGGCAATAAAAGAAAAATACAGGAAGCAATGCAAAAATTAAAAGATAACAGAAGTCGACGTGATTATACAAAACAATTATACGGAGAAAACGACAAGTACGGTCGAATTTCACAAGTTTTTTTGCGTTGTACATTTTTTCCCCGCCATCGAGAGAGAAAATCCTCGGGAGATGTATTTTTGTTGCGAGAGAGTGTCGGCGCTTATGCTCGCTCACGGTCTAACGAACGAGATCCGGCAACATTAGAGAGACGCGACACTCGAATCCAGCCTGCTCTTTCAATGTGCACGATATACTCGGTCGCCCTTCGCTCCACCATCCCTTTTTTCTTTTGCGCCCTTCGTCTGCAACGCGAAATATATATGCGCACCTGCAATACCTCTCTCTCTCTCTCTCGTC